GAACCGCTGAGGGTTTGGTGCAAAGCTGCCCTGGATGCTGGTGCGCCCGTGGAGGGGCCGGGGTCCGCTCGGGAGCTCTGCGCCTGGGACTGTCTCCACGGTTCGTACTGAAGAGCAAAGCTCTGCAGGGTTGGGTCCGACCGGCCGATCTTCGTGGACGAGGGTCAGAGCCCAGCAGGCTGATGTCTTTTTTTCGTGGGGAGCGTAGCGTAGGTGATGCAGGGACTCGTGCGGAGTAGGTTCTTCTACAGTGCTGGTGAGGTTTAAGTACACTTTGATTTACATAGGTGCAAAAAAAAAATAATAATCCATTAAATCTGTCTCCCTGCTAGATGAGAGTGTTTTCCGTCATACGCTTGAAAGTGGTTTGCCCAGCATGGTGTTCCTGCGGGTTAAAGCAAAATAAACTGAGGCACAGGAAGTTCCGTCTGAACATGAGGAAGAACTTCTTCCCTCTGAGGGTGACGGAGCCCTGGCCCAGGCTGCCCAGGGAGGCTGTGGAGTCTCCTTCTCTGGAGATATTCCAGACCCACCTGGACGCAGTGCTGTGCAGCCTGCTGTAGGTGACCCTGCTGCGGCAGGGGGGTTGGACTAGATGACCCACAGAGGTCCTTTCCAACCCCTACTATTCTGTGATTCTGTGACATCTAGAAACGCTTCATCCTGACGGATCGCCGGCTGGTTTTCACTCCCTTCCCCCAACGTTATCCTGCAAAGAGTCTGGGGGTGAGGCGAGGCCGGAGCTCGCTCGCTGGAGAGCCTTTGGGCTCGGGAAGCTCGTGGCTTTGCTGGGTGGCTCCACGGGTGGGCTTTTGTGTCATCGCTCTGCTTTCTCTCTGTAGGGACCTGAAGCTGGACAACGTGATGCTGGACAGCGAGGGGCACATAAAGATCGCAGACTTCGGCATGTGCAAGGAGAACATCTGGGACGGGGTGACCACCAAGACCTTCTGCGGCACGCCGGACTACATCGCGCCTGAGGTAGGGCGCGCAGAAAGGCCGTAGATGCTCCGCAGGGGTTTTGGCAGCCACTCTGCTGCTCTTTTCCGTGGGGTGACGTTGCTGTGGGCAGCTTTCTGTGGAAACAGGGACATGAGCGAGTTCACCGTCCCCTGGGGAAGCTCACCCCCTCCGCACTGTCCCCCTGCCCCGTCAGCAAGCAGCGCTGCTGGCTCTGCCTCTCCGCGTGGCTGCGTGCCCTGCTTCTGCCTCCAAGGGCAGAAAATCTTCGGTGCCGGTCTCCACGCGGCGTTTTCCCCCTCTGGGTGTTCTCCCCACGTCCGTGCCGCTGGCGTCGCCGTGCCTGGCCGATCCTTGGCACGCTCCGACCCTCCAGGGGCTGCTCCCTGCCTCGCTGCGGGGAAGGGGGAGCGCGGCAGCTCGGGTTTGTTCCTCCCCCCCCCCGGTC